GGTTTGTGTGAGGTTGTTGTTCTACACAAAGAAGATGTCTATGGTATATTAGAAAGGCGGCTGGCAAAGCAGCAGACAGCCTCGACAAATTTAAATGTCAAATCAAGGTATGCTCGCCTTGCCTTACCTATCGGGCTTTTAGTCGCTCACATTCTGTTTTTACGGTTACTCTGCACGTAAAGGAGACCAAAGAATCAAGAGACGAGGAGTTGCTGCGAATAGGAAAGCTGAACCTCGTTGATCTAGCCGGGAGCGGTAACATAGGAAGGTCTGGTGCTGTCGAAAAACGCGCTAGAGAAGCAGGCGCGATAAACCAAAGCCTTCTCACTTTGGGTAGGGTTATCACAGCTCTTGTTGACTGTAATCAACACATTCCTAATCGTGAGAGCAAACTGACGCGGCTTCTTCAGGTATGTGTTGGAATAGACTGACTTCATCTGTGTCGTTATCATACTTAACTCCTTTTTTTAGGATTCTCTTGGTGGTCGAACTAAAACTTCGATAATAGCGACTATTAGTCCCAGTAATCTGTGTCTCGACGAAACTTTATCCACTTTGGATTACGCTCATCGTGCAAAAAATATATAAAATAGGCCCGAAGTCAACACCCGCTTAAGCAGGAAGGAAATGGTGCGGAGCTACAATGAGGAGCTTGAGCGTCTTCGTCTGGACTTAGATGCTACCAGAACAAAAACTGGTATCTTTATAGGCGTGGCCTAACGTCATGGACTCGTAGAACTGCAGAGTCTCGATGTGAGTCAAGCAGGCTAGCGGAGCGGCCGGAGCTCGGCGCAGGCAGAGGACACATGCCCAGCTATTCAATGCGATAGGGGGCTTTTGGCTTGTTTTGGGCCCGTAACGCGGTCGCGTCGGGGTCGAAATGTGTTGACTGAGTGGGGCTCTTCTATCCTTGGAGCTGAGGAAGGGACCAACAGCGTCCTGGAGCCCAGGACTTCACAGGGCGTCGGACACTTCTGCATGTAGAGTGGATCAGGTGGATGAGACCAGGCTGCCGGACGAGCAGAGCTTCCAGGCGGAGAGGAGACCTTCCGTCTGCCGGGCCTGGCCCGACTGGTTGATGTCTGAATATATAATAAATAATGGATGATGGATGAATGGATGCAGCAGCAGCAGCAATTACTAGAGTATTTGCATCCTGCCTACGCGCCTCAGGTGGCCACGTACCAGTTAGCGTTGAAGGGAGAGGAGGAGGAGGAGAAAACCTAACCAGTCCGAGCTGGAGGCTCTTCTGCTGCGTCACTAGGACTCGGAGAAGGCTGTCTGCTACGACCCGTTAGTCTGGTTGTCGAGTGGGTGGGGATCTTTTGTCCTTGGAGCCGCCGACGTGCCCACCGTCGTCAAGGAGCCCGGGGACCATTTCTCCGGCCAAGGCTTCCCAGAGCGGCGGAGTTGTGTGAATGGAGAGTCCGGAGCAGGTGGACGATCTCAGTCTGCCGGACGAGCAGATCTCCCATGTGGAGAGGAGACCGTCCGTCTGCCGGGCCTGGGCCGACTGGTTGATGGAGAAATATATGATGGATGAATGGATGCAGCCTCAGCAGCAATTACTGGAGTATTTGCATCCTACCTACGCACCTCAGGTGGCCACGTACCAGTTGGCGTTGAAGGGAGAGGAGGAGGAAGAG